AGTGAAGGAAATTAGATGAAGGTGAATATGCACAAGGTTCTCTCAAATTTCTAGCTGAATCGGTATTGGTTCTTGATTGATATCATGAACTTGATTAATCATGAACAACACTACAAGATTAATCGACCCACTTTCTCTAATTCATTCAAACAACAACAAATTGCACAAGAACAAAATATAACAAAAAGAAGTGAGTCTGACATGGATTTGTACTCGAGAAGTTGTTCTAGAGAAAAGTAGAAATATTAATGGTGTTGGGTTTAAAAACACTAAAGAAGATAAGACAAATTGACATTTTTTGTCTCTATGAGTTTCACCCACATGTTTCACTCACTTGTTACTTTCATCAAAGAAAAAATTATTTAAATATAAGATAAAAAATTGGTTTTGTGAAGCTATGATTCAAGTCAAGAGAAAATCATGATTCAAATCAAGTTATATGCTTGATTCGGGTCAACTTGAGCAGAGCGCAAATTTGGCTTCATGTAGTCATCTGATTCGAATCAGGATTATCACTTGGTTCGAGTCACATGAGGTTGTGATCGAATTAGGTTCATTTAGTGATTCAAATTAATTCATCCAGAGGCAAATCCCAATTTTCACAAGGTTCTTAATTCAAATAATACTTAACACTTGATTTGAATCAAGTAACTCACTATCTTGATTCAAGAGCTCTAACTTGTGATTTAAGTCACATTTGATGAAACGAAAAAAGGCAACTTGCTAGGCATAAAAAGGGACATTATAAAGGATTAAACACTCTTATTTAATTGAGTGGATAATGGTCTCAATGGTACAATAATGCAATAGTCGAAACAATTATAATACAAGTGAAATATGAATAAAATACAAGCACACAAATATTAAATGTTAAGCAAATCACAAATACGCAAATAAACTATAATAACTACATTCAAATTAGCAAAAACATCAAAACAAATAAGCCATACCATACAATAACGTGATCGCACTTTCAAAGGCTTCATTTAAAGCTACAAAACATCCTTGCAAAATCGACTAGTTTTTCGTATTTGATACCCAAATCATTTTTGATCCTAGTGTGTTAGTAGTTCTAAGAGGATTAAGATTATTAACTTTAGACTTTTTTAATTTATAAAAAAAGGCTCCGAGTGGCCAAGCTTATAATAAAAGGAGCATTTATAAATATGACGATTCAATTTCTTCATATCAAAACCTTTATTATATGATCTACCATATTTAAACCTTAATACGGTTGTATTCAAGTAAGGCCTTTGATTTGATAAAATCAGATATAGGTTTTCTTTTCCCATGATAAATTTATTTAGGGTTTAATGGAGTTATTTCACTTTCTTTTTCATTGAGACACAAGTCTCACATTTACCAGTTTAGTTTTTAATATTAGTCATTTCATATCTTATTATTTCATTACTATTATCTTGAAATTCAATGTAGTCTTTAAGATCTATGTTATACTTTTCAATCTTATCGTGTTCTTCACTTCACACAATGTTTAATTTAAATAGTTTCGTGTATGATAGCATTTTTACCTCACAATCATATTCTTTGTGAAAAACTTTCAAGCAAACTTACTCATCTTTTTCATTGGAAGGATATTCTTCAAAGATTCTTCCAGAGGTTGATTCTTTGAGATATATCCTTGATGTTAATCTCTGAATATACTACTCGTTGATTAATCTTTCTCATTTCTTCTTTCGATGCGTCCACTGGATGAAACTCCTGCTTTTTCGTGCTCTCTTGATGAAGTTGATCCGTTGGACGTTGAATCTTTAAAGGATCGTTCAATCACCGAGATTGTTCTTTTGAATGAGATTATTGGAATTAAATTTTTTTTTTCTTCTTCTTCTTCACAAAGATTATTTGATAAAGTTGCTAAAGATTCTTCTACGTTTGAGCCTATCCCTTCACACTGTAATAGTTAAGTCAACTCATTCAATATCTAAGTGATTTCTTCTTTCGTAGATTATTTCTAAAAATCACAAACATTCTCATCTCTCGATTTAAATATTGGATCATGTTTCTGATTCCAAAACTTAATTCTTATTTATTTTTTAGAAACACAAGTTATAACATTGTTTCTAAGATTTCTAAAGGTTGAAAAACATTTGTGAGAGAAGCATTCACAATCATCTTCTTCACCTCGTATGTTAATTCCTTCTTTATCTATACTTTGAGATACTCCATAGATTATTTCAAGAGTGTCCCACATTTCTTTAGTAGAGTTACAATTTAATACACAAAGAAAATGATTTTCTTTTAAGTACATAACTAAAAAGTTTTTTTGGCTTTGAAATCAGTTTCTAACTTTCTATTTTTGTCTTCGATCCAAAGAAAATTGGGATTATCTACTACTTTACCATTAATGTAGCGTGTACGGGTAAGTAGATCATTGATTATTGATTCCCATAATTCAAGGTCAAAACTTTGAATGAATATTTCAAATATAGTTTTCCACAATTCAAACTTATCACCATTAAACCATGGAAGTGTGTTTAAGAAGTTCCTCTTGTTAAAATAAGTGTTTGAAGTCATCTTTCTCCAGAGACAATTAGTCTTTAAAAAAAAGTTAGGCTTTGATTGCACTTGTTGGACATATTACTCTATGCATAAGAGGAATGTGAAATATGGAGGTTTGAGAACGATGATTTAAAATAAAATTATTTGATAAATCTAAGTTTAAAACCATTTTACAAAGACATTTGAAAATGCATAGGAAATTCAAAGTAAATAATTAGAAAATAAAGAGATAAGAAAAGAGAAATGACATTAGAATTATACAGGTTCGGTCAAGAATGCATAATCATGTCCTAAAGAATTGATCTTAAGAGTATGCAATATGCTTGAGAGCTTTTAGAAGGTCATGCCCACAAATTCCCTTATACATGGAAATGAAGTTTTAGGCTAACTTCTAACCAAATAACAAACATAGCTTGGAGTGGTTAGTATTCACACCAAATAAAGATTTTGGACATGCTGATCTCGAACCTAAATGGAGTTTTGAGTTAGCTATCCACCAAATTGAACGGATGTTTTTACACAGACTGACCATAAACCAAACCGAGATTTTTACCAAGATGATCTTGAACCTACTGAGTTTTTACACCAGACTAAACTTAAAAACTAAGTGAGATTTTAGCACGCATTGATCTCAAATCTATAGAGCTTTTAACCGGGATGAGTTCAAGAACCATTATGGAGATTTTTAGTGGTTGATATTCACGAACCAAAAAAGAATCTTTCTTCATTGGCGGAGCTCACAAACTAAATGAAGACTAAGATAAATCCCCAATACAACAAGACCTTTTAAATGGTTTAGCTCCCAACCCAAATAACAACTTCCTAAAAAATAATTATTTACTCAAGAGAAAAATCTACTATTGATAAATTTATAATTTTGGCCTCACCCAGAACAATATTCCTCACTAGGCTCAAGAGTCCTCTCAAAGTACTATGGCTAAAATATGTGAGAAAACATAAAAGATTTAGAGAGATGGTGAGAAAATTGAAATATGAGGTTTTTCACATTTTTCTGAATGTGAAAAAGTAATAGAGAATCTCTATATTTATAAATCAATGCATGACATATGTTTGGAAATAATCTACATGCCAATTAACTCACCTAATGGATTAGGCACCTCAAATAATCGATTATTAAGGACCTAAATAAAAGGTTTTGATATAGAATTGTTACTAATTATTAAGAGGATGTCATAATCAAATATATACTCAATTAGAAAAATGATCTAATCAATTAGACAATTTGAAAAAGTTTCTTAATCAAGTAGACAATCCTCTAATCAATTAGCTAGGTCCCAAAAACATTTTTTTAGTGATTTTATTTAGAAAATAAGAGGTTTCTTAATGTTTTTAGCGTGTGTGAATCATTTATGATATTTTCAAAAATGTGTCTTGTGTTTTTACAAGACAATGATCACTCAAACATACATGATCAAACGAGTTTTCACACTTTCTCTCTTTCACATTTTGAAACTTAAAGTCTTGACATCATTATATTTGACTTTAACATCACATAAGAACCTTGGGTCTTCTTGACGGGGCTTGGGATATCTACATGTCGATTACCATCATCTGAGAGTTTGAAAGATTTAGCCATCAGTTATCCTTGAAACCTAAGTCATAACTTTAAACAATTGCTTAGCTTGATTCAAGAGGAAGGTTTATCAACATCTTATGCATCTTTGACCACTTAAGTTATCTTCAATAGTTGATAGACTTCAATTGTTGTCATCATCAAAACTAAGTATCTACTAGTTGACTTACATCTTTGATATCCATAAGTTTTACCATCTTATATCACTTCTCAGCTATACTTAAAAGTACAGAGAACCACACTTATATTTCAATTGTTCCAAACATCAAAGAGATGTAAATATTGGGTTATTAATAATTTCTCCACAAAGAATATTGACAAAGTCCATATGGAGAGAATAAACTCATGCAAATAGCTATTGGTTATAAAATACTCCATTTACTTTTTATTATAAATTGTTTTTGATTTTTCACACGTAATAAAAAATGTAATAATTATTGTACGAAAAAAATTTTATAAAAGATTTTACAAAATCGTCTTTCATCAATGATATTAGGAAAATAAATTTACATAATTGAAATAAAAGAAAATAATAAATATTTAAGGATATTATAAAAATAGCATTAATATTTTATGATAAAACGACTTAGTATAAATATTTTTCAAAACCACTTGTTAAACAAAAAAAACGAAAGAAGTATCCTACGACCGAAAAAATGTTATGACAATAAAAATATAAAATATATTATTTTAAAATTTATACACTTACCTCGTAAAAATATTTTACACCTATAACCGTTAAATTTTTATTTGTTTGATTTTTTTAATCTAATACTACAAAATATAATCTATGGTTGTGATGCATTTAAAACTTTTTAAACTTGTGTAAAACAAAACAATTTAGTTTTCTGTGTTGCATGTACGAATCAGGAACATAGCGTGATAAAGTATGGCTTCTCAGATCCTCAGACGAACACTCGGAAGCCGCTATTTCGCAAACCACAGGCCCTTCTCTTCCGTCACAACTCCGATCCGTGCCACTCTTTTCCCCGGCGATGGTATCGGTCCCGAGATCGCCGATTCCGTCAAACAGGTTCCCTTTACTTTTTCCCCTCCATCCACTCTCTGATGCCCAAGTTTTTCGATTAGCTTGTTCTATTTTGTACCCATGAATGCTTTTCTGTAATGAGATTTGGATGTATGTGCCTAATTTCAATTGAATTGGATAAAGAAATTTGAGACTTATGGTTCTGTTCATAATTTTATGTGAATACTCTCTTGTGCTATGGATGTATTCTTTTTCTAGGGTTTCAATAGAATAGGCCAGAAAAGAAGTTGTTACTGTCTTTACTTCATTCTTGGTTTTTTTGTTATGTATCCATGTATATTGCATATTCATAAAAGTTGAATTGCTATGCGGAATCAAAAGTAATGCTCTGTCAATTATTTCTATTGCAATAATTAGATATTCCAAGCGGCTGAAGCACCAATAGAATGGGAAGAGCACTACGTAGGGACCGAAGTTGACCCTAGAACCCAGAGCTTTCTGACATGGGAAAGTCTAGAATCGGTTAGACGGAATAAGGTTGGCTTGAAAGGGCCAATGGCCACCCCTATTGGAAAAGGGCATCGTTCATTAAACCTTACTCTGAGAAAAGAACTAAATTTATATGCCAATGTTCGACCTTGCTACAGCCTTTCTGGATACAAAACTCGATACGATGATGTTGACCTCATCACAATCCGTGAAAATACAGAAGGCGAGTATAGTGGACTTGAACATCAGGTGAATTTCGTTTCACAGCATACATGTCATATGCCATTATCCAAATCATGATTAATATAATTTGTTTAGCATTTTTGGATTATAGGTTGTGAGGGGTGTAGTAGAAAGTATCAAGATTATTACACGTCAAGCGAGTACAAGGGTGGCTGAGTATGCTTTTCACTACGCCAAGGCACATGGAAGAAAGAGGGTGTCTGCTATACACAAAGCAAACATTATGCAAAAGACTGATGGTCTTTTCCTCAAGGTCTTTTAATATGTCCAAAGCCATTAAATAATTTGTCTCAATTTATTTTCTTCATAAATACTAATATTGACTGTTTATTTTTTTTTTATTACTTTTAGTGTTGCCGTGAAGTTGCAGAGAAATATCCTGAGATAACGTATGAGGAAGTTGTCATTGACAATTGCTGCATGATGGTAATATTGGTGAACTGGATGTAGGAAAAAACTGCATTTTGAATTTGTTTTTGCCTGTGAAAATGATACACTGCTTAATTTTTGGACTATCCGTAGCTTGTGAAGAATCCTGCACTTTTCGATGTACTGGTGATGCCTAACCTTTATGGCGATATAATCAGCGATCTCTGTGCTGGTTTGATTGGGGGATTGGGCTTGACACCAAGGTTTTTTCTTTTTCTTGAGTTTTGGGCATAGAAGTCTAGAAGTCACAGTTATCATCTGACATCATTTTATATATATTGCAGCATTAACATTGGTGGGGGAGGCATTGCACTTGCTGAGGCTGTACATGGTTCAGCACCTGATATCGCTGGAAAGGTGACATGTGAATATATTTTTAAACCATATATTGTTTGTTCTAATTTCTAAACTTTTTTCTTCCTGTTTCATAGAATATTTTGTTTTCGGGTACCTGTTTTGTACTTGTGCACCATATGCCCTTAAAAAGGCATTTGGTAAAACTATTAGAACAAGCTTTTGGCGGCTGGCGCCTGTTGTAAGCATGCTAAGCTAGATTAGAATTTGCTTATATAGATCTTGGCATGTACTCGTAATCTTCAGCCTGAGCCAGACCTTGGGTTTCTTATTAGCTGTCTATTTCATTCCTTCTCCTAAGTTGTTGATGGATTATTATTTGAAAACACTATTACCCAAGATTAGTTTTCACATTTCTTTGTTGTTAGCCTGAGTTGTTTCCCTATTTTATTATTATGATTAGGTCTCTAGTTTCATTACAAAATTAATTACAAGTGCTTTGTTTTATATGGATTTATGCAGAATTTGGCAAATCCAACAGCTTTGCTGCTGAGTTCTGTCTCAATGTTGCGCCATTTGGATCTCCACGACAATGCAGATAAGATTCAAAATGCCATTCTCAACACAATTGCAGAAGGGAAGTACCGAACTGCTGATCTTGGCGGTGTTTCAAAGACAACCGAATTCACAAAGGCAATTATTGATCATCTTTGATTTTTCAAGTCAGCAAGAATTTGTTGATTATGATTTTGTGTCACTAAATTTCCTCTTATTTCCCCAAATTTTTGGGGCGAGTAGTATTATCTCAGCTTAATGGGTAAAGAATTGCCACCAAAGACAAGGAACAGACAACATTCAAATATTTGTTGTCTATCTGATGGCATTTGGAGGGGTTCCTTCAAAATGCACATTGATTCATAACCCTTGCTAGTCCATTTTAGCATTCATTGTCAATAATATAAAGGATCAAATGTGTTTAAGTCCTTTGTGATCATTACCTTTTAGGATTTTGCTATTGTGATTATCACATTTTTTATTTATGCAAGTTGTTTGCTTGCTTTAATTTTGCCAAGTTCTTATTTGTAATAATAGCAACTTGTTTATGTTCCTAAGAGACAAAGTTATTGAGCGATTCCCAGGAATTCAATCTTGCCATGGTTGGATTTTTGCTACGATTAAATTCGTGTTTGAAATGCTTGGATAGCTGTTTGAATAAGAATCGGACTTGAATCCCTGTAGTCAATAGCGACCGCCTTGGCACCATGGCCTCTCAGAGTGGCCTTCTGGTACTACGTAAAATCTTTATGGGTTGCAGTTTTGAGTAGGCTTTTGTAAAGCCACCATTAGTGCTTTGGTGAAACTTGTATAAAATTTTAAAATATCTTGAATAGCTGTTTTTTGCCATGAACTTGTAGTTGTTCCCTCTAGTTTTAAACTAGAATACTTGGACGGAGTTATTTAAAGTATTGGAGGCTAAAACGTATCTGCTTTATAAAATTGAATTTGAATAATCATTACAATGAACTTTTATTAGGAGATATATGATATATTGTGTTATTCGTTAATATTTATTTATTAAAATATATTTATTAGTTTAGTTTAATGTAGTTTTAAATTATAGTAGATCGTTTTCATTTTATAATAATAATTTTTAATATATTATAGGTTATATCAAATTTACTATTTTTTAATGAAGAAAAGGTTAGGATTATATATATGGGGGCAAAGTGGGTAGTCCGTCCGTTCAAAAGTAGAGCGAGACGGGGTGGACCAATTTAAAAGTCAAGTCTGTCCCGTTTATTAAGGGGTTGATAGGTCGGTCCGTTAATTTTTTTTTATTTTACAATTTAATTTACTACATAATTTACAAAAAAAATTATTTTTTACCAAAAAGGTCAACAAAAGATTTTTTTAAAAAGCATCTCTTAAGTCCAAATAGTTCAAAAAAATAAAATAAATAAAGACCAATTATAAAAAAAAATGAAATAAACTCAAACACAATAAAAAAAAATCAAAATAAATAAATAAATAAACAATACATATCATCTTAATCCTATTTTAAAACTAACTACTAAAAAAATCCAATTAAAAATTTATAAAAGACAAACAATGATAACAATTGCACCGCATAAAACATCGCAATGCATAAAATAGTAGTGCATAAAATATCAACAGTTAACTTTCTCACTGTTTACATCATATAGACTCTTATATTGGTTGATTCTTTAATAGTTAAATTTTAAATTTATCACATGTATACATTAATCAAATCCTTTTTTTTTCTTAAAATTAACATCTATTTCTAAAAAAAACATGTGAGCTAATGTTTGACAACTTAATAATTCAGCATGACATACAATTGTTCTTTTATTTTAAGTTTTTTCAATCAACACGTGTATTAGATAGTTATAGAAATAACGTTAAAATTATAATTCAATTTGTTTGTATAATAATTCATAATACAATTCAATCAACAGAAGAGTTTTATTTTTATAATTGAAGTTGTTTTAATTCTAAGTAAATAAATAAAAAGTTTTAACAAAATGTCCGTGGGTAAAATCCGCTCCGCCCGCCTCGATCCGCTTTTTCAAGTAGGTTAGGTGGGACGGGTCAACTTAAAGTACCGAGCCGAAAACCTCAGTACAACCTATCAAAAATAGCGGGTCAAACGAGTGGATCCTTTTTGTCACCCCTATATATATATATATATATATATATATATATATATATATATATATATATATATATATATATATATATATATATATATATATATATATATATATATATATATATATATATATATATATATATATATATATATATATATATATATATATATATATATATATATATATATATATTCGAGCTATTTAAGATATGTATGAAAGAATATCGACTAGTGTGCAGACACAAGGCGGAGATAGACGATTTTCTCATTACAATAGATTTGCATCAAAGTTCAACCTTAAACCTCTACCTTTTAGCTTAATTTTGGATGTACTCATGAAACACATTAAAGAGTTATCAATGGGATGCATACTTTTTGCAGATGATACATTTCTAATTGGATAGTCAAATGATGATTTAAATGAGAGGTTGAAAACAAGCTTTATAAACACACGACTTTCACCTAAGTTGAAGTACGACGGAGTATATGGAATGCCAGTTTAAAAAATAAAAAATATTTTTAACTTAAAGGTGAAAGTTGAAGACTATATCATTCCCACAAGTCACGATGTTTAAATATCTTGGATCCGTAATACAAAAGAATGGAGAAATAGAAAGATATAACTATCAAATTCAAGTTTAACAAAAAAAAAAGTATTTTTAATTTAAATGTAAAAGTTGAAGACCATATCATTCTCATAAGTTACGATGTTTAAATATCTTGGTTCGTAATATAAAAAATGGAAAAATAGAAAGATATAAATTATCAAATTCAAGTTAGGTGACTGAAATGAATGATGGCTTCTGTGGTTTTATGTGACATAAACATATCACTCAAGTTGAGGGATTTTTTTTATTAAACTGCAGTAAGACATGCGAGGTTGCACGAGACAGAATGTTATGCAGTTAAGAATCAACATGAGGATAAAATAAATGTAGCAGAGATGTTGTGTTGGATGCGTGGTAAGACTAAAAAAAATAAAGAGAGTGTTAGGGTATCACCTATAGTAGAAAATATGGTGTAAAACAAACTTATGTAGTTTAGGCATGTAGAGAGAAATCATGTAGATTTTGTGGTAACGATAGGAAATCAGATAAAGAGAAGTCAAACGACTAAAGGTAAAGGAAGACCTACAAAAACTATAATATGAGTTATAGATTAATTATTTGGATAAAAGCATGCTCTTGGATAAATATTATGGAGAAAATTGATCTATGTAACCGACCTCACTTAATGAGATAAAGATTTGTTGTTATTGTTTAAAATATTAATAAAAAAAACTATAATTTAGATATTAAAAAATTGATCCAAATTAAACAATATGAAATTGGAGTGGGTTAGATTTTATTACCAATCATCCAAAATTGAACCACACGCAAATTATCCTTAGTTCAAATGAATTTCTACTTCAAAATTGAAGTTATTTTTTCAAAAACACCATTACTACTACACAATATGTTGTTGTAGTAACGTTTTGGGGAGTTGGCCACCAATGTCTTCATAAACTTACAACTCATGTCCATATTTTCCTTAACATGGAGTTTTAAGGAAAAATAAAACACCCTTATTTTAAAGTTTATTTTTCTATTTATATTTAACAAAGATGTCTACTTTATTAACACATAGCTATATTTACGTAAAACTATCTTAATCACAAAAAAAAATTCTTGCATTAGTCTTTAGAGTTGTTAGTGTCGACACTTTTAACCGTATCTATTCTTCAATCTTCAATTTCACATCTTTTAAGTGTGTTTTTTATGGATACTATTGTTGCACCCCAAAATTTGACCAACATTTATTCATTCATGGAGTATTTGAAAGTTGATACCTTCATCAAAAAGTTCAAGAGGTCCTCAGAGGAGTTGGTTGAAACCAGGGTTGTGTGCTTCACAGTTTGAAAGTTGTGGGTGCTCCTCAGATGATTCTGAGACTTTGAGAATGAACTTGATGATTTGAGAAAGCCTATGAGATGTCTTGATAGCCCTCATGAATGCCAGAGAGGTCATTATGCAAGAGTTCAGAGGATTCAACCATGAATGGTAGAATTAGGGTTTTGACTGGGTCAACCCTAGATCAGCTGAAGATTTGGAGAAGGTTGAGACTCAATCCAAGGGCCATGAGATCATGGAATGATGCATAGAGATGTTATAAAGATGATTCCTAGACCAACTCATCATGATTGAGGAGTTTGAGAAGTTTCAAGTTAGGGTTTCTGAGGATTGTCAGTGGAAAAACCCTAATTTGATCCCTATTTTCCAGGCAGTTTTAGCCCTAGATGTGATTGATATCTCATCTTCCCCACAACATGAATGTTGTAGAGCTTGTTCTAAGCTTTAATTTGAGTGGTGGAAGTCTTTGATAGGAGTTACAGAGCTCAAGTTATGGTTTTGACAAATTACAGGTCAGCAGAAGTGTGTGAATCTGGGTCCTTGAAAGTCACCCAACTTCCAGACAACTTTGGCCCTAGTAGGATGATTCCTATGGTTTCTTGGTCAACATGAATGTTGAAGAGGATCTTCTTAGCTTTAATTTGAGTGGTAGAAGTCCTTGATTGGATTTGTGGAACTCAACTTATGGTTTGAACAAGACAGGGGTATTTTGGTCATTTGTCAGTTATAGGTCATTTTAGCCAATGCCTAAAACTCCTATTTCCAAGCCTCAAATGGAAAAACTCAAAACATGAAAGTTGCTCAAAATGTGATTTTAAGTCTAGAAAGAAGGTCACAAATTGTTGAAAAAGCTCATAGCACAAGATTCCATGATTGGTCAAAAATGAACTAAAAATGACTTATAACTTTGAAAAGTTGAAATTGAAAAGTGTTTTGGGAGATCTACAAATCCAAAATAGGTCATCCAATATATCATTTTGATTGGAAAAAACATTTTGAGAAGATTGGTTTAAGTAGAATTTTCATTTGAGGCTTAAAAGATGAGGTTCCTTTGGAAATTTGTTACTTAAGAAAGAAGGCAATGTTGGAAAACTTAACATAAGGCAATTACAAGGCATGTGAGCTTCCTTACCATTTCATATTATCATGTGGTG